GTCAAATGTATATGTCCAGTAAAAATGAGCTTTTTAACAGAATTAAATGTTGATCGTGTTGGATTCTTGTTTCCTGCACTCCCCAGTGTTTTCTTCCTTACTGTCAGCTCCTGCTCCACCTGTTCCCAGTTCTAATCACCCCAGGTGCTTGTCATTAGTCCCCCTTTAAGGTCTCTGTTTCCTCCTTGTCCGTGTATTGTGCTTCCCACGACCTGTCATGTTCTGTTTCTCTGCATTTCCCTCTGCTTACGTAAGATTTTGCTGCCACATCAGCCTTTGTTTTGAGTTTTTGTTGAATTAATTGATATTCCTTATTTTATGCCCCATGTCTGCCTGCACTTGGGTCATGTCAGACATTAGCTCTTATCCTTTAGAAGTGGATAGTTCGCATTTCATTTATTGCAGATTTTCAAAGTAAGATTGGACATGACACAAGTGGCTGATTGATGGATGAGCCATGGGTTGTTTAATTAAAATAAATTATTTTAAATGATTTTGCACCATTTGTGCAGCCCACAAGTGAAGGGGAAAGCTCCCTCCTGCAGCTGATCAGTTGATCTCCTTCTCTGCCACTCATTTCTCCTGCAGCAGCTTTGTGAAGGGTTAACCCTTTGCTGTCCGGATGCACCGCCCAACTTTTGTCTTCCAACTTAAAATTCAAAGTATATCACATTGTAAAAATCATCCTAATCACAAAACACAAAAGTGTTAAAGAAGGTATTTTTAATAATTTTAGAACATCTATGTTCAGTTGACACTAAAATACACTTTTTAAATGATTAAATTAATGGGGAAAAGCTATCCAAATCAATCTGGTCCTATGTGGAAAAAGTAGGTGGTTCCACCATTGGCAACAACATCTGAAAGCAAATGTTGGCGATAACTAGGGACGAGTCGTTGACATGGCTGCTGAGGAAAGATGCTGCTGTGCCTCAGGTCATCGTCCTGCTGCAGAATCCAAGCTGATGACCACAAGCTCATGGTCTCACATTCTCCTGCAGGATTTTATGGTTAAGAACAGATTTCATAGTTCCATCAACTACAGCAAGTTGTCCTGGTACTGAAACAGCAAAGCAGCCCCAGACCATCACACTACCCAAACCGTGTTTGACTGGGGATGATGCTCTCTTTCTGAAATGCAGAGTGTTTTAAGTCAGATGGAATGAGATAAACACCTTTCTGAATGTGCCACTTTTGTCTCTTCAGTCCTGGATGTCTTGGAGATCATCAAGATGATTTATTCTTTGCAAATTTGAGATGGGTCTTTGTTGTTTTTTTTTTTTTTTGTTTTTTTTTGGGGGGGGTGGGGTGTCAGCGTTGGCTTTTGCTTTAAAAGTCTCCTTTGGGGGCCATTTTTTGCCCTCAGCTTGTTTCTTCTTGTTGGATCACAACCTCTGACTTTTTCTGAGGTAGGTGAGTCCTGTGGGACTTTAGATGTTGTTCTGGGTTCTTCTGGAAGTTCCTCGATGTGTCGTTGATGCGCTCTTTGAGTCCTTTTTGTCGGCTTGCCACTCCTGGGAAGGTTCACCACTGATCCATGCTTCCTCTATATGTGGAAAAAGACTGTTTAAAGGATTTCTTGATTCCACAGGTTTGCCATTAATCAAGCCGGAGTTTAGTGAACAAAACTGATCTTAGCTTTCCATAAAAAGCTAAAGAACAGTTACATTTTGACCCTAGGGGAACAATTTCTTTTTCACATAGGGCCTTTTCAAGTTCAAGAATCTTTATTATCCCCAAGGGGCAATTTGTTTCATAGTCGGGCACATAAAACATCCGTACTGGACAAGACATTGAGACATTAAAATAACAGAACAGAAATCATCACTGTTCATTGAGAAGCCTGATCACTACAGGAATGAACGAGTTGTTCAGTCTGTTTGTCAAACATCTGGGCAGCAGATACCTGCGTCCAGATGGAAGCAACCTGAACTCACCATGGAGTGGTGATCAGGATCTGCCAGAATCAGCCTGACCTTGTTCACTGACCTCGCCTTGTGTAGGTCACTGAGGTTCTGTAGGACTATACGAGCAGTTTTGCTGCACATCCTGACAATCCCCGAGAGTTTGTTCCAGTTTTTGCATGTCAAGTCCAAACCACCAGATGAAGGTGAAAGTTAAGAGACTCAATAAAACATGAATAAAACATTTTCACAAAAGTAGAATCAACAATAAAACCACAGAGCTTCAGATAAAAATACATTCTCTGATGGGCCTTCTTACAAAGTGAGTTCACATGGGGGTCAAAGGTCAGATTGTCATTGAGAACAGTTCCCAGATATTTATATTGATGCACCACCTCAACAGCTTCACCGTTAATGACCACAGGAGTGACAACTGAAGAGTCTTTTCTAAAATCAGTGACCATCTCCTTTGATCGGTTTGTTTAGCTTTTTTTCTCCAAATTATAATTTTTTCTTGTTTCGGCTGCTCCCTTCCTCCAGGGGTCACCACAGCGAACTAACTCGCAAGAAGACTTTGTTGTTTTTACTTCTGATGGCCTTCCTGATGCAACCACAGACCACCACACCACAGTGTGGAGCAGAGAGCTGCCATCTAGGGCGTCGGGTGGAGCAGATGGTGGGGGTTAAGGGCCTTGCTCAGGGGGCCAGAGTGGGGCAAATGAGGGTGGAGGCAGCACTGGGTGCATGTCCCCTTGCCTTTAAAGTGTGCTGTAGTAACACATAGTGAAGGTGCAGATTCCCACAGCATTGGTTGGTCCATTTCATTTAAATACATATTGTCACAAAACAGTGGTCAATTTAAAATGTGTCTACACTGTAAAAGTACTACACCACTAGTTTTTAGATAGTTTTATACAAATTGTTAATGTTCCATTTCTGCCAGTAGCTCTCTCCTCACCACGTGTAAGCTCACAGCTGAAACCTTTGGTTCATTATGTCAGCTTGTGACTCGTTTTTTCAGACTACTTCAAGGCTTTGTAGATTAAATTACAACAACGCTAAGAATTATTTGAGATTTTAGAGCTTTTTACAAAGGTTGTCCAGAATAACCTTTTATTTCTGCAAAATAAAAAGTTCCGAATAAATCTGATGCTCTACAACAAATTCCTGTGGGATCAATAAAGTTCTTTCTTAAATGTTGGTTGTCATAGATCTCACTTGTCTTTGATAGACTCTGGAAAACCTTGAACTTTGGCAGGAAGGTTGTCCAAGGAAACAAATATACTAACTTGACTCAGTTAAATGTATTTTTAGAGCAACGTACTCCACTGCTCGCTGTGTGAATAATGCTATGCTGCAGTTTGGTTCTGATTAATGACCCGGCTGCAGCAGCATTTCAGCTCATTTTTTTCTGTGGTTTCTGGGTTTAAAACAATAAAACTCCTGTAACATTAATTAAATGTTACTCTTGTTCGTTATAAAGATCAAAATGTGAAACACATTCAGTTTAACTCTATTCAGTTACAATAGGGGCTTTTCTTTAGTCAAGAAAACCAGAGAGAAGTTTGCGTATTTAAAGAGAATTTGGCTTGAAATAATGTTACGTATGTAATTCCATTCCCCCTTTATTTATCCAGGTAGTCTCGTTGAGCCACGAGAACTCATTTTCAAGAGAGACCTGTTTAGGGAGCAGATGCTGGAGGTTAAGGGCCTTGCTCAGGGGACAGAGTGAAGCGAATGAGGGTGGAGGCAGGTGTGGGTGTTTCACCTTTTCCACCCACATTTTGATGTTGACGGTACTGGGAGTTGAACCTGTGACTTTCCGATCACAGGCCCATCTTCTAACCTCTGCTCTGTGCCACCACTCCCCATAGTAATAATATGCATCTTCTTTGTTACACATCTAGCCTTGTTTTGGGGTTTGCATTGATTTACTTAAAACTGGAATTCAGCCTTAGAGCCTTAGAAATGTTAGAGCTCAAAGAGAAATTAAACCTTCAGGAACAGTGAGGGATGAATAAATCGATCCTAACGAGGCTCACTTTAAGCAGCCGTTGAGTGTAAATCCAAGAAACAAGCATTATAGTCACATTAGCTGAACGATTCTGTAAACGGTGCTTGTTGTCTGCAGCAGGCAGATGCTTCTGCAAGGAAAGAGCTTTATCAGCCATTTTGAGATGATGTTTTATATAAAAGTTTTCAACAGTTAATATCTTACCTGTTGTAGATAACTTTTTGAAGGACCTGCACGAGTAGTAGCTGCAGCCTGTGGTGAATTAGGCAACATTGATTTCTTTTCCTGTAATAACTAATTTATTAAATAGCCTTCACATAAACTACCATTTAATTTTTAACTTCTAATCAGTGTTTTAGGATGACGGGGATCAACTTTTTTCCTCGCTGCATTTGAACTAGATGTTACTCATCAGTCCTTTCAGTTTTTTACTGTTTTCTTTAAACTGAGGCTGTTCAAAGGACAACCTGCAACAAGCAATTCGTTGTTCGTGACACAGAACACAGCTTCAAAATGGCTGAAATAACCCTTTTAAGAAGGACGTGTCGTGTACGTGGGTGTGCTTTTCTTTACAGTAGCTTGTATTCAGTATTTGGTGACAGATGGTGGAGCACCTCGGCCAGATTACTAGCTGGTCCAACCAATCAGATCTGACCTGCAGTGTTGGGGGGTAAAAATAGTCTGCCTTGTCTAATCTGCTGCAGGTGTGTGTGTGTTTACTGAAACGAACTAAACAAACGATTTTTAAAGCAAGGTTTAAAAACCTGGAAAGGCTAAATCAAGTGCGCAGCATTTAAATGTAGTGGTAACCATGGCAACAGTGTGCCGGTGTGGCCGTGGATAGCGGCGCATTGATTTACACTCTGCAGGAATTTATTATCAGCTCGGAGTGATTGGTGGATCACGAGCCTCCTGCATGAGTTACTGCAGCCTGAGAGGCTTATCTGCACCTACCTGGAGCTCTACACGTTGATGCCGGCCAAAATTAGACATGTTGTTGTTCTGCAGCGTGTCAGAGTTTCTCGGACAGACGGTCAAATTCAGCTTGTGTTTGATTTTGTTTTTTTTTCCTTCTTCTGCAGATCTTTGCAATCTTCGCCTTCTCGACATGCGGCAGCTACTCTGGCATGTTCAAGATGAGCGTGGAGTGCAAAAACCGATCAGAAAGTGACCTAGGCATAGAAGTAGAATTTGAATACCCGTTCAGGTACGTCATGTGTTCAATGTTGCACAAAAGAGAAGAAACTCATACGAATATATGGATCTTAACCCATCACCAAGGGCCTAGTCTTAATCCCACAACATTTGTTTATGTATAAGTAACATCTGCTGTTAATCTTTATTAATATTTTTATATGTTTAATTAGTCTGTTTCATTCTGTCACACTATCATGTTAGGAGGTGATTAACCACAGTCCGACCAGCAAACAGTTGTAGGAAACACTTTAAATGATTGTTTGGTGCTTAAAAATAAAATAAATGCTTTGCTGATTCAAGCAGTAATTTACAAATTGTTTTAAAATCTAATATTAGCAGTAAAATTAGGTTTTTGACAGAATGGCTGTGCACATGACAAGTGTCAGTTTTGAAAGTGTGCTCATTGGCATTTTATTTTATTTGTATTTTTAACAACCGAGCGACGGATCTGTCCATTAAATGAAACTATATAAAAGCATAAACACTGTACATTGCATTTGTTGTATTTAAATAATGTACCATACTGTAATCGTTGCCACCAGACGTGTGAGACAAGTTTTACCCTAAGCTACGCTAACATCTTCAACATGAGACAATCAGTCATGGAAGACATATTAGTTTCTCACGTAGCAATCAAGAATATTTTAACTAAAATATAAATGAAATCATTAGAAATGCTGTGACCTTATTAAAATTATAAACCTTAAAATGAAATGGATCTTATGCATTGTAAGTAAAAGCCAAAGTGTTTCCACAAAAGATACATAAAGTGGAGAAAACACGGTAGATATATTTAGTTTTTATGTCCCGCCAGCAAACCTTTAAAGCTCAATGTTTGTAAGAAGAAGCTGAAATTTTCACTTTATCCAAACAGTTTACTGGTCAGTCTGAAGCTTTTCAGCTCTTGTTCTCCTATTCATAATCAACAATTTAAACAGATAGCTCAGGGTTTTTTTTAATGGATGTTTTGTGGAGTTTTATTAACAATCAGTATCTTACCTGTCGTAGACGGCAGTATAGTTTGGATAAATGGAAGTTTCATTTTTATTTATGTCAAATGAGATGAGCTAACGGCAAGTCCAAATGGGACCACTTCCCACATCTGCCCTCTTAAAACCATTTCAACGTTAAAAGTTCATTCAGAGCAGTTCGTGCTGACACTTATAAATAAAAGCCCATTAGCGGGTTATTTATGAAGAATTCAGATAGTCTGGAGACTTTGTTGGTCTGTTGTTGTTTCCGGTGGTGAAACGTTACAAAAACTGAACACGGTCAGGGTACGGGGCAGAGTGACTAGCTGAAGGGAAATCATGAAAATGTCGTGGGGTTTATTTCGGCTGTTTTCATGTGTCTGTGACATCATCCCCAGGCTCCATCAGGTTTACTTTGACGCCCCCACCTGTAAGGGAGGAAACCGGGAGCGTCTGTTCCTGGTCGGAGACTACTCCTCTTCAGCCGAGTTCTTCGTCACCATCGGTGTCTTTTCCTTCCTCTACTCCATGGCAGCCCTCGCTGTGTACTGTTTCATACTGGAGAAGTACCGTGAAAACAACAAGGGGGCTCGGATTGTGAGTTTATTTGTCATTCTTATTTTTAACGCAACCTTAAGCACATGCAGTAAAAATAAAGGTGGTGTTTCTGACCCTTAGGACTTGGGTGTGACGGCAGTGTTTGCCTTCATGTGGCTGGTGTCATCGTGCGCTTGGGCTAAAGGTCTGTCAGACGTGAAAACAGCCACTGATCCAGAGAGAGTCGTCACTCTCATCGCCTCCTGTGATGAGCCAGAGAATCGCTGCCGTGAGATCTATGAACCCAAGGTCTCTGGCCTCAACACCTCTGTGGTAGGTCCCAACAGGCTGACTTAGTATATACGAAGAGCTGATGTCAGAACATTAAGATTAACAACAAATATTTATCTCCTTTCAGGCTTTTGGTTTCATAAATCTGATTCTGTGGCTGGGTAACCTGTGGTTCGTCTTCAAGGAGACCGGCTTAATGGCTGCTTTCTCTGGAACGTACGTTCCGTCGCAAGAGAAGCAGCCAGCTCCTGATTCCTTCGGCCAGGGAGGCTATGGACAGCAGGACCCCTACGCCGGCACCCAGGGGGGCTACCAGCCTGACTATGGCCAGCAAGGAGGCTACAATGAAGATGGAGGTTACAACCAGGGCTATGACCAGCAGCCCACCTCCTACTCTAATCAAATGTGAGCCCGTCCAGCTGAGCCACAGCTGCAGGATGGTGAGTGAGTACAAGAGCTCGTTAGAATGAAAACGTTTTATCATTCTTCTTCTACTTTGTGCAAATGAGAAATCAGTCTTTGTAATGGATCTAACTTTTCGCTCAACACTTCGCTTTTCTCTTTTGCACAAAATAAGCAAGTTGAGTTGAAAAACAACATCAAGAACTTGCTAAAAACATGAATGTCTCTGTTTTTGTACCCCATCACGAAGCAAATAGGTCCATCCGTGCATGTTGTGAGCGTGATAACTTGAGAAATAAGTGAGGTACTGACTTCCATTTAGGTGTGTGGCTGCATTTAGACATAAGAAAGGTCACTTTCGAAAATTGGTTTGTCACGTCAAATTCCAAGATGGCCACTTCCATTTAAATATTTGTAAACCAGCCACCCCCAGTCATTTGAGGAAACTGCTGTCTAATTTTTATATTGCTTAGAAGTATAATTTCCTCAAATAACTGGGGTGACTTAAGATTAATCTATGGTGGGCGAGGCCACCATTGGCCACCCCCTGGTTCCAGCATTGCGCCTGGTGCTCCCTCCACTCTCCAGGACCCGTCACTCTGCACCGCCTTGGACAAACAAAAAAAAAAAACCCTTTATTCTTATGCACAATGCAAGTCCTACCCACTTGAATATCTTGCATCCAAACTCTCATCTTGAAAACTAAAAACATTTGCTAAATCCCCCAGTGACGAGGGACACCGGCGTATGGCTTGTTAGCTTTGGATTGCAGAACAAGACATCTAACTTCACAACATCTGATGGTGATGAAGCTGCTAGCAGCAGGTCTTATGATGATTTTATTCCCACAGTCTCAAACCTGACGTAGCATTTTGAAGTCTTGCTGTAAATGATGACAGGAAACAGCTACAAGAGCCTCATGATTCCCTCGAGTTTGTAGGAATGGAAAGAAGAGAAACAGGAGTGATCATTTCTTGCTTTAAACCGTAAAATGGAAGATAATGTCTTTTCTCTCATTTCTGGATTTGTAAATAAAACGTGAAATGGTTTATACTCCAATATGTCAACATGTCCTGCTGAATTCAGTGGAACTAGAAGTAAATTGTGGTTTAAAATTGTTTGCCCCCATATAAAATAAGGCCTGTATATTTTGTACTTTAACACACAAACATATAAAGCAGCGTTTTCAAAACAGACAGAGTGGGACGCTGACAGAAATGAGTGATTGTATAAAAAAACTCACTGCTCAGTTATATCTGCTGTTAAGTCTGTCTCGTTCAGGAATAATGACCACGGTGGTTTTCCTTTCACACAACATCAGTTTATGTAACAAAGGTGGATCTGTATGATCAGGAGGTACAGCTCACTTTGCTCCTAGATTTCCACTCACCGCAGGAGACTGAAGAGCTCTCTGATGTAGTTCTCACACTTTGTACATTGTTAAAGAGCTCTCTGCCCTGTGAGTCAAACATCCATCCGCTGCTTTAAAAAGTGCTATGTGATGTCATCATTGTAAATGATGACATTCGTTCTCTGCATGAACCCATCACATGTGAGATAAACTCAGGTGGAACAGTGGGCAGCTATGTGGGCGCCCGCAGGACAATTAGGGATTGGGTGTCTTGCTCAGAGACACCACGATATGTGGGCATGGCAGGGAGATGGACCTGCGACTTTCTGGTCCCAAGTCGGCTGCACTATCTCTAGTCTACACCGTCTCGAACACAAAAAGCATCAGGTGTTGACTCTACAGAAGCCTCTTCTGTATTTAACGCAGCTTGATGTCTTTACCTTTGACCTTGTTGCTTCAGGAGTGGCTATAGCTCAGTTTTACAGTCAGCTAAAATTTGCTGTGGTAGTAGCTGAGGGTCATTCCCAACACATACTCCAAGCACTAACAGATCATGAGATATAATATTTCATGAGATTATGTATAATGTTATTTTCACGATTGAACCAAAATAGCTACAACTCTGTCCTTTGTGAACACAAGATAAGCCCTGGTAAGAAGTGTGTGCACTCCTTGAAGGTATGCTAGGCCTTTAATTACAAACATTGTTTTTAATTTCTAGAGATAAATCTCAAAAGGTTTTTACAATGCACTCACCTCATTGGTTCAACAACAAGTTGGAGCTCTAATGTGCTAAAATAAAAGTGATCCTCTTTGCAGTCTTACTCAATTCTGAGTATTTGCGACCAGCAACTGTGTGTCTCAGTTTTTGGCAGCTAATGTTTTAAAATTGCCGCCTATCTTTGTTCAAGTTCAATAATATTTATTATCTCCAAGGGGCAACTTGTTTCACAGTCAGTAGTCACATAAAACATCCATACTAGACAAGACATTGAGACATTAAAATAACAGAACAGAAATCATCACTGTTCGTTGAGAAGCCTGATCACTACAGGGATGAACGAGTTGTTCAGTCTGTTTGTCAAACATCTGGGCAGCAGATACCTGCGTCCAGATGGAAGCAACCTGAACTCACCATGGAGTGGTGATCAGGATCTGCCAGAATCAGCCTGGCCTTGTTCACTGACCTCACCTTGTGTAGGTCACTGAGGTTCTGTAGGGCTATACCAGCAGTTTTGCTGCACATCCTGACAATCCCCGAGAGTTTGTTTCAGTTTTTACATGTCAAGTCCAAACCACCAGATGAAGGTGAAAGTTAAAAGAGACACAATAAAACATGACTAATATATTCTCATAAAATAGGATCAACAATAAAACCACAGAGCTTCTGATAAAAATATATTATCTGATGAGCCTTCTTACAAAGTGAGTTCACATGGGGGTCAAAGGTCAGTTTGTCATTGAGAACAGTTCCCAGATCTTTATATTGATGCACCACCTCAACAGCTTCACCGTTAATGACCACAGGAGTGACAACTGAAGAGTCTTTTCTAAAATCAATGACCATCTCCTTTGTCTTAGAAACATTTATTTTAAAAAGGAGGACTCGCACCATTCAATGAAGTCCCTGACCACAGGTCTGGAGTCTGGGTCATCACTGCTACAGTGTGCACAGCACTGCATGAGTCTTTTGTTGTTGTTGTTCTTGCACAGCTTGGTCTACATCATACTCGCCTTGGTTCACTTTTCACCTGCATCCGTCCCATAACTATGATTTCATTTACTGGAGTGCACTGTTGAAAAGATTTGAATGAGTTCTTACTAAATATCATCATCAGGTTTTTAGAGCTGATCATTTGTGGCTGTAGCCTCAGAAATGTCTGTCATAAGGAGAGCTGCCACTGAAGTCACAGAAACTAAACTGAGACGGCTCTGGGGCAACGTTGCAACGTTTTCTAGGGAAACTTACCCTGCAACGCTCCACTTGTCCTCACCCACACATATTCTTAATGTCATATTTTTTTTTGCGGAAAAGCTGTAGAGCAAGTACCAGAAAGCTGTAGGTTCAATTCCCTGCCATGCCCATATGTTGTGTCCACGAGCAACTCACCTATTCCCTAACTGCTTACCCAGCTGCCCGCTGCTCCACCTGAGTGTATCTCAGGTGTGATGGCTCAAATGCAGGACACAAGTTTCGTCCTTGTCTGGAACCGTACGGCGATGACAGTACACTTAACTTTCGCTTTTTAATTGACGTCTCGGTACTCGGGTCATAAATTATTACAATTAAACTGTCAATAAATCCCAAGCTTGTTTAACCATAACTGTATCAGTTTTCTGTGCATAACGTTTATTTATATTTGTTGCTTCTCTCTCTTCCTCTCCTCAGGGCGACCTTGTGATTTTGGAGAACGGTTCTCGACCACCGCCTGCATTTCCACGCTCCTCTGTTTGTCTGTCTGTGTGTCCGTGTGAGTCGACAGGCGGAGGGAGGCGGGGTGTAAACGCTCATGGGTCAGGGTGGAGGAGGAGGGGGGTGACCACTGTGGGGGGGCAGGAGGTTGGGCTAATGGGGGAGGTAGGGGTTGGAGGGTGCGTGGGTGGGGGGGTCTGTTTTTGCTGTAAACATGATGATTATTCTCGTGGTGTATTTTAACTGTAGAAGACAACAGCAGATTGTTTGTTTGGTTTTATGAGACAAACTTGAATACAAATACCAAAACATTTGTTGAACATTTAAGGGAAAATCTTGCAACAGAGAAGACTTACATTTATGAGAAAAAAAAAACTGAAAATCCCTGAAAAAACTGTAGTAATATTTAACTTGAGAGAATGTATTTGTCTGTGCTGTGTAAATATGAACTTGCTGAAACATATATATATATATATAAATATAAATATACAGTATATGAGTTTATGTACACAGTTGAATAATTGTGTGCCCTGTATTAGCTGTTATACAACAAATGTTGAGCTCAGAGTTATTCAACTGTTTTTACTTGGGTTCTGTTTAGGAGCTCCGACAGTTTCACCAACCGGTTGAACTATTGGCACCGCGGTCGTGTGTTTATTTACGTGTGGACATCTTCTGTTTTGGTCCGTTTTCTTTGAGATTAATATTTTCCTTTATTTTAACATCATCACTGACAGGACTTAATGATCCGAAGGCTGATGAAAATGCAAATCGTTAAGAAAGAGGCATTTATCTTTATAAATAAAGAACAGATAAATTGTGATCTCTAGAGTAATATAAATGGTGACAGTGGATTGTTTTAGTTTTATGTTTTTATCATTTTTTTCCATGAGATTTCACCATCAGGAGTGGGTGAATTCATGTGACGCACTGGATACGGTTCATTAAAACATGAGCATGGTGGCGTCTCACGTTTGTCGTTGCTTAATCTCGATGGTGCTGTCAGTGGAGCCATTGTGACACAAGTTTTAGTGGTGTGTGTGTATGTGTGTGTTGATTTGTTTGGGTTTTATGTAACGGCATTAGGGAGTTTCTTGTCCATAAAGCTTTTCTTGTGTTCCGTCGCCTTTTCTGTAGTCCGTAAGGTTGTGAGACAGAGTTGTGTGTTTTTAATGGTGTTCGTGTCCCACATGCTCACCTTCACATTACATTGCATAAAAAAGGATTCTGGTCGTGCTCTCTGTTACAACGAGGCCGTTCGAACAACGTGCTGCTGTGTTTTAACCCGCTGCGTCTTCAGCTTGTCTCTATCTTTCCTCTTTCAGGTGTTAGGCCACTTTACTGCATGCAGTTTCCTCCCTGCAGTCCAAATTATCCACCGTCACACATTAGAGGCTCAGGAAGGAGCAAACCTGTGTCTGATCCGTCATAGTGGTTACTGCACAGCACACACTGGACAGCAGCTCTGCTATAATCTACCCAAAGCACAAATAAAGTGCTGCAATAACGACTTGAACCTGGTAAGAAGTGGTGCAGCAGCCGACCCTTTCTTTCAAAGAGCGTGTTTACCAAATGGTGAAAGTTTAGTTTTATCGGTGGTTTTGCTTTTACAGCTCTCACCAGACTGAGTTATAACTCATCTCCAGCATTTCATCCTTCATTGTACAGACATTCATTTAGTTCTAATTAGGGTTTTTTGATTCAGAAAGTTTAGAAGCTATTGGCTTTCTCTCTCTCTCTCTCTCTCTCTAGTTACTGTACTTTCTACCTTTCTTTGACTTTCACGGTAGCTCTTATAAATACGCTGAAATGAAATATAGTCTGTTGTTAGTGGTGAATGATGTCTTGTGATCCTCTCTAAGCCCTTGGATAGTGCTGTGTTTTATTGTGAATGATGTATTCATATTAGTATTTATGATGATGATAAGTCAGAAAAAAAAATGTTCAAGACTCTCCGAAACTTTGCCGTATTCTTATTATATGGGATCCATGTGAAACAAAATGAAATAAACTTGACATTATTCTGTTGAAGGGTACATTGTGTTTATTTACTTGCAACGGTTGATCATTTTAATTCACATAAATGCATATGGCTTATTTCAGTCTGAAATAAATAATTTTATTTCTTAGTTTTGATAGGGGACAAAATAATCATAATTAAATATAAATAAAAAAACACCTTGTAATTTTATTGAAGTCTTACATGGCGCCCCTAGTGGTTGGGAGGGTGTGAGTTTTCTTTATCAACTCGTTTTTTCTTTTTTTTCAATATATATATATATATAGCACAGGAAAGATAAAAAAAATCTGATCATGCTACAGTACTTTACTACAGTTACTTTACATACTAGTATTACTGCTCTGTAACAAACTTACATGGAGTTCAAAAGTTTAGTAGTTTAAATTGGTTAACTTTATTTTTACAGCTTGCAAACACAATAATTATTTTAATGTGAAATACAAAGAACTCTTAACATCTTTAGTAAAAGGCACACTGATCCTTCATGGACCTAAGAACTCACATCCAAACTCAAAAGTTTACATACACTCATCCGAGGCAATAATGTCCTGATATTTGGAGGCTTTTAATGATTTATTTGAACTGCTTTCTGTTCCAGGATGGAATGATTATATAACATAGTTTAATAATTTTAATTTATTATGAATTTTCTCTAATCCACACAGGGTCATAATTATACATACAGCTGCTTTTATCATGACAAGACCTGTTAATTTGTTTAGTGATCATGATTGACTGCAGCTGGTAGTTTCTTTTCGCCAGCACAAAATGAATTTGTTTGACAGCACGCATTGGACAACTCATCTGTCCCCTTCAAATAAAATATAATTGGTTTAGATGTTCAGGAACCACTGAGGCTCAGGCCTGACATGAACTGCTGGAACAGTGTGTCCACAGTGAAGCCAGATTTTCATTAACATGAAGTGAGGCGGTGCTGAACAAGAAAGAAGCTCCTGCTCCTAAAACGTCTCTTGGACTGATGTGTGCAGCTGCCCACATGAACAAACCAAGTATCTTCTGAAGAAAAGTGTTATGGTCAGACAAGAAAAAGGTTGAGGCATTTGGTCATAATGATAAGATGTGAGTTTAGAGAAGCTGAGGCTTTCAAACCCAAGAACTCTTATCAGCTGTCAAGCACAGTGGTGGTAGCATCATGTTATGTCACTGGTGCACAAAGTGGACGGAAACATGAAAAGGGAAGTTCTCCAAATTCTTAAACTTCATCATAAACCATGAAACTTGGACACGTTTGAATTTTACAACAGAACAAAGTTAATCAGATCTAGTTTCTTGTTGGACAAATCAGCTGAATTTAAACTTTTGGAATGGATTTCCCAAAGATCCGACCACGACTCGATTTGAAGGGTCTGTGCTAGAAAAATAACAAGTTTACTTAACTATTTCTGCCAAAAAGAGGGGTCAAATATCCAGATAACTTTATTTCAAAAGCTTGTTGATGGAAACCGAAAATGTATTGTGGAGATGCAACATGCTAAGAGACATTTTACCAAATATTAGTGGGGGTGTATGTATATATTTACTTTGTGTGGATTAGAGAAAATGCACAATAAACTCAAATTCTTGTTTTTGAAAACGATTGAGGTTGTATATCTATTACCATGCACCCATGAGATAAAGATTCATGTTAATCATTAAAATTTCCAAATTACTGTGGCAAAAATGCTCTTTTTTTACAGAAAAACAAATATCAGTAAATTAGGCCATAAGAGCAGACAAACAACATGGCCCCTTAGAAAATATAATTTCATGTAATGTTATTGTTTTGTAAGTAAATTAGGTTAGCTGCAAAACATGCCCTAAAAGTTTTGCCACAAAAGTACCACAGATCGATTCATGATCTGAAATGTCCTCTGCTGCTAAACCTGCATGTTCGCAGGAGGACTGAAAGAAATAAAATTAAATTAACCGAACTACAAACACCACATTGCTTTTACTTTGACAACAAGGAAATAAAGGCGAAAGAAACAAGTTCAAAACAGAAGAAAACCACATGTGCAATAACCAAACAGATCATTGAAAACATCAAACTGAGCATACGTGCCACAGTCAGACCATTTAGGGCCAAAATCTGTCTACTGGTTATAAAATATAAAGTTAGCTATATTCACCTTCCGTTGGATTTTTCCAGTGTATGCAAATAAAAATTAAAAAAATCAATTAGGGTGTGGATGAATCATCCCACTTTTAACACTGACAGTGATTTAAAACAGATGTTAAAATGTTGCATTACTTATACTCGGTCCCACAAGCAGCACACTCACACAGTGGATCAACCAGTTTGCTGGTGATAAGATGGTGGGGAATTCATCTTATCACCATCTAATCACCAGAGGGCAGGCCCCAGAATCCATCTTATCACCCACCATCAAACTGGTTGGCCCAGGGCCGGCCAAAGGCAGAAGCAAACTAGACTGCTTAGGGCCCCAGGGCCACAAGGGGGCCCCCTAAGTGGAAGCACAGGTTTTGGGGACCTGTGAATACTTTGCGAAGTATTGAGGAAGAAGAAACGTAAACAGGTCAAATGTGTGGGTAAAGGTTGTTTAATATTTTAAGTTCGGCTTTAACAAATTATTGCATACATTTACACAGTTTTAAGACCTTATTCAACTTTTAATTTCTTTTTTTAACCATTTTACGTGGTTTCAAGTAATTGTTCATTTACATTATTTACGTATTTCCTTGACATCTTATTTTTTTATTTTATTTAATCTTGTCTGCTTTTGCACAATTTAAGTTATTTTTATGCATCCAAGTTATTTTATCTGCCGTTTGTTGCTGATCTTGCAATAGACATTATTTTGAACATTACTGATGCAGTTCTTTGAAATCAAAGATTTTAAACCGGATGACACTTTTGCTGTAAAATACATTGCATACGGGTGTTTTTTGTTTTCTTTTGTTACTTTTAGTACCTCACATATAGGATAATGTAAACAGGGCTGTCAGAGTTGCAATGAGTTTATATTAGGAGGGTGAATGTTCTGAAAAACCACATTATTAAGTAGAGGGCCTCAAACCAAATTGTGCTTAGGGCCCCATGGAGGCTAGGGCCGGCACTGGGTTGGCCCA